ACTAGCTCAAGTACTAGAAGCAGGAAGTTCAGAGTTTTCTATAGGAAGATTGTATCAGGTAACATCTCAGCTTTTGGATGTTCCCCTTCGTTACTTCCATATGCAGCTTAAACTTTATATCTTGCCAAGAAAAATGCTACATTTCAATACTTGTGTTTTTTCTTTTAAGATAAAAAGTGACATTTCAATATTTTTCTTTTAAGAACAACCTAGAATGACTAGTGAGAAAAATTATTAACCCCCTATTGAAACCTACAAGTTAATCTGCATGATTTCTTTACCTGAAAAGAGAGTGAATGTCAGCAGTCGTAAGGAATCCCCGACCATGAAGGTCCAGACAATGAAATAAATATGTCAACCCTTCTGGAGTATCCTTGTTTTCTAAGGCAAGAACAAAGTCAAGGAACTCTCGAAGTCCATCTCCCTAGCATTTCCTCCTCCACTTTTGCCGCGCCGGACATGCTCATCAAATACTACAGCGAGCATAGTAAAATGAAATTTGAAGAGAAGAAACTTAAAATAAAGAGAAAAAATCCGGAATACTTCACAAATCACAAGGAGAACTGCATCAGTCCTACCTCTTTCTATGAAGATTTCAGTCAGTGTCCCATCTGCATATTCTTTAAGCTCCTGCTTGCTCAGCGTTCCATTCATATCCTTGTCAAGGGCAAGATACATATCTACACTAAGATAATTATGCAGTGAGTATAAATCACAACGATGCTAGTAAGATGCTCTGAAAGAGAACGAACATCAAGCTACTCAACACAAGCAATTAGTGCATAGAAGTCTTTGTTTTTTTTTTATTTATTGTTTGAAAGAAAAAATCTAGTATCAATTAGCACCAAGGGGTTACAACTCTTATACAGAATTATTTACAAGTCTATAAAATATTAATGCAATCCACTAAACACTCAATAGTACAAAGAGGATGATCCTTTACCAAAAAACTTAGGATCTTGAACCAAGTATCCTTGATTCTGTTAAAAGACAACTATGTAGCCTAAAAAGCTCTCATGTTTTTCTTTTTCCATATGGTAGCCAAACGGATAAGGCCTGTACAGCATTTTAGCACTAAGGCCCTGGATGCCTTCCAATGCTCAAACTTCTTTTTTGACTGATCCACCCACAAGCCAGTTCCCACCCGACAGACTGAAAGCCAAACACCACAGTTGATAGAACACAAGACACAAGAGAAGAAGTTGCTTGAGTCTCTGTTGCTCCCATCCATTCTAGTGCATAGAAGTCACAGCACTACTGATGTGGGAGAAATTTGGTAATCTCCCTACATAGTGGTTTGGGGTAAAATGGATACCACATGCAGTTCCTAAGTATTACATTTAAGAATTGATTGAATCACATGAACAAGACATTGAAAAAATTCTCAGTAATTTGTGTTGTCAGAAAAGGTGTAACGGCCCCGGAAAATATTAAAAAAGAAATGAGTATTTAAATATATCGAATGCGGAAGCGAGATCAAAATTTCAGTTAACATCCCTTACACGAAAAAACCAAAAAAAAAACGTACTTAAAATATAAAAGGTTAAACTAACTAAGAAAGAAAACTCGAAAATAAACTATGCGTATGACTACAGAGTCTCTAGGCATCCCCTTCGTCGTCCTCCTGCGGAACGAGCTCGGGAACCATGTCTTCCTGATCTGAAATGGTTAATTAAGGAGTGAGCTACACTAGCCCAGTAAGAACATCACGATATCTCACCGTCACGGAGATAAAGGTGGGTAGAAAACCACAAAAAGACCAATGGAGCATAATTTACAATAAACTCGTTTATTAACATGAAAACCTTTACCATCCACTTACCTCGGTGGAATTTATGAAACATA